ACACACTCAGTTACACTCAGTCACATGCATTCACACACACTCATGCAAACACACAGTTATACTCAGTCACATGCATTCACACACACTCATGCACACACTCACAGTTACATTCAGTCACACGCACACACACACACACACACACAGGCACACACGAAAGAAAATGGAGCCATGGAAGCAGGACTGTGGGTGAGGTCGAGGAGCTGCTGGAACGGTGTGTGGCTGCACTCGCCCTTCCTTTCTCCTCAGGTCACTTACCTGCCCCTGGCTCATCTACTTCGTTGGTCAAAATGGCCCAAGGACTGTGGCTCTGGTCACTCTCCAAGGCCTCTGTGGCTGCAGAAGGCCTCGTGTGGTCAGCAGTAACTTCCAGGGTGGGCGGCTGGGCACTGGCCACTGCTGCCTCAAGCAGCTGGTCTTCTGGGCCCTGTTGCTGGAAGTGTCGACCATTCAATCCTTTAAAGCGGCCCCTCCTCATCGTGGGGGTGGGGGCTAACTGTGTGCCTGAGGGTGCTGTCTCATCCAGATCTACCCCCATGCTGCTGGGGCTGGGGACACCCGTGGAGCTTGTGGCACCTATAAGCAGCCACTTTTCTGAAGAGAGCAATGAAGCGAGTGTGGGGCCCTCTGGGGTAGGGCTCAGGGTCTCCTGAGATGCTTGTGTCCATGTCAAGTCTAGGGGTTCATCTTCTCCACTGGATATGAGAGGTTCCTGGAAGTCAGATGCTATCACCTCCTGCTCCCCCAAGCTGGGCTTTAGTTCTCGGGCTGGAGGCCCCTCTGCTGACACAATCTCTCCCTCATCTCCAGATGAGGGGATCTCAGAGTCTCCATGTTGTGCTGTATGATGAGCTATAGAAAAAGCAGAAGAGGTCTGGGCCCATGCATACTGGGAAATTCCTGCATGGTATCTATGCACATTTTAGCCGGCTTCATCTGGGTATCTGGGCACCTGTCTTTCTGGGTGGTCTCTGAGCTTCCTGTGAAGAGGAAGTGTACCATTCCTGCTGCACCAGAACGTGCAGATCAAGGTCAGGGTCTGCTAGTCACATGAGCATCAGACGCAGCCTGATTCACTGGCAGAACTCTGAGATCACCAAGTAAGGGGCTCATGCAGCGTCTCTACCGGGCTGGGCCTGTGGTGTGGGGACAGGCAGACAGATCAGCCCCACCCAGGGAGGAGCCCATAGAGGAGGCTGCAACCTTCACCAGAGCTCCGCCCATTAGTGCTCTGTCTTCTGTCTGTCTGTAACCCAAGCTAACCTGAAATTCAATGTGTAGCCCAGGCTTGCTTTGAACCCTCACAGATTCTCCTACCTCAGCCTTCCAAATGCTGGGTACAAGAATGGCCCAGCAGTGACCACATTTAAGGACGGACTCATCTCGGGGTGAATTCTCCCCTAGAGGGTGTGACTAGTCACATGGTTTCCACCCAGCTTGAGAATGATCTATTGTTTTGTTTATGGATTTCTGAGACAGAATCTCATGTAGCACAGGCTGACTGTGAGTTTCGTAGCCCAGAATGACCTTAATACGTCTGATTTTTTTGCCTCCACCTCCCAGGCGCTCAGCCCCACACCTGGCTTTATTTGGTGATTGGCATGGGACTCAGGCATTCGTGCTTGCTCGGTACGCGCACTACCAAGTAAACTGCACCCATAGCCCGAGAACAAATAGAAAGTTTCTGGGCATGCTGGCAAAAGGTGCAGCACCTGGGAGGCAGAGGCAGGTGCATCCCCATGAGTTCCGGGACAGCCAGGGCTGCACGTGAGACCCTGTCTCAAGCAAAACATAATAAATAAACAAATAAATAAATGCCGGTAGGGATGTGGCCTTCGCTTGCCTGTGTCTAGAAGCATGGCCACAGTAGACACGCCCACGGAACATGCTCGTCATCAACGGTCCTGGTAGGGGGTGTTATGGGTTTAAGGCATGAGATGTGCCCCACAACAAGGATTCTGGCGAGGGATGTGATTTGGAGAGGACCTCCTGGCAGGGCATGTGGTCTTCATATACTCCTGACTCAAGGGAACTCAATAGTTGATGTGGTTTGTTCCGCCCAATGCAGATTATGGGGTGTGGTCTGGAAGGAGAAACGCCCATGGAGGCGTGGCTTTCACCATTACTTTCAGGGGTCATGTGATGTGAGGCACAACCATAACCACGCTTTCCTGGGGGCGTTGTGATCGCAAGGGAACACACGCACACACGCACGCAGGAGTTAAACCGTGTGTAGTCAGAGGTGAGGACCACTCCTAGGGTCATGGCTTAGTCAGACACCCTCGACTGTTGACCTGTTTGGATGACATACACCCACGAAGACTGGCCTAAGCAGATGGCTCTGGGGCGTGACCTGCAAGAGCACGTCCTAACGCACCTCGGAAGCAGTAGGCGTCGAAGCGTGCTCCCGGCGCAGGAAAGCCGGTGCGGTTGGCGAAGCGGTACACTGTGCGCACACCTGGAGCCGGGCCCCCACAACGCCGGCGCGGAGTCTGGATCGGGTAGCGCACGCTGCCGTCTGCCAGCCAGCCCGGGTCGCACTGGTCCAGGCCCTCGTGCCAGGCCAGGTGCAACTGCCCCACGGAGGCCAGCGCTGCACCCTGCCGCTGACACTGTGCTCGCGCGCCTGCCAGGGTCAGTCGGCGGGCGGGGCCCACGTAAAAGACTTCACCTAGGAGAGGGAAAGGGCGGAGGTCAGAAGGGTGGGAGAAGGTGGGAGCGCGGACCGGTGGATAGGAAGCTCAGGAGACTGGTGCTCCAAGACCTGGCTGCAACTTTGGAGCGCTTTGAGGGGACTTAGCAGGACTTGGGGGCTGGAAGAACACCTGCCACTCAGGGAGAGGTGGCTAGGTCCCACGTGCAGCTTTAGAGGGCACAAAGAATTCGGAGAGATTCACTTGGGTTTAGGGAAATACGGGGCCTGGGATAGCACCTTACAGTCAAGGATAGGTGGCGACAGGGTCCCAGACGCGCCTTGCCTTACCCCCTAGCTCGCGGGCAAAGCAGTAGACATCGTAGAGTTCCTGCGGGTCGCGTCTCCCATAGCTCCGAACACCCGGCAGACTGCTGCGGTCACCATAGCAACCAGGACGCGACTGAGTGATCGGGTACCTGACCGTGCGAGGGGAGTGGCTATCGCCTTGTGTTCTTGGAGCCTCTTTCTCCAGGAGTGGCCCCCCCCCCCGCCCAGTCCCATGCCTCCCGCGCACCCCCTCACCGAACCGTGCGGTCTGAGAGCCAGCCCGCGTCGCAGTTGTCAAAGCCATCTTCGAAGGCAGCCTGTAGGTGCCGTGGGGCGGCGATGGTAGCGGAGCTCAGGCGACAAGCCTCCTGGGCATCAGCGAAGGTCAGCGCATAGCGGTCCCGGGCCGCTCGATAGTGGAACACGACGCCTGTGGGGTAACAGCCACGAGGCCAGAGAGGGGCTTTGTGGAATCTTAGGGAAAGGACCTCCCTGGAGAACATTTTCTAAAGACAGAATCTCATACGATGTGGTGGCGCACGCCTTTGATCCTAACACTTGGAAGGCAGAGGCAGGTGGATCTCTGAGTTCGAGGCCAGCCTGGTCTACAGAGTGAGGTGAGTTCCAGGACAGCCAGGGTTTCAAAGAACGAAGATGTCTCAAAACAAAAACAACAATGAAACACACACACACACACACACACACACACACACACAGAGAGAGAGAGAGAGAGAAAGAGAGAGAGAGAGAGAGAGAGAGAGAGAGAGAGAGAGAGAGAGTTGTCTCATGTAGCCTAGGTTGGTCACCAATTCCAAGTCTCTCCAGCCCTGACTCATTGCATTTCAAATTTTGTGCACCTGTGTGCTGTGGATGTGTGTGCTGTGTACTACGTGTGTTTGTGAGTGACTGTATATATATGTGACACATGTTGAGGGCAGAGTTGGCAGAGCCCCTGGAGCCACCTGACATGTGTTCTGGGAACCAAACTCATGTCTGGAGGAGCAGCAAGCACTTTTAACCACCGAGCCCATAGTGGGCTAGCATCCTGTGAGATCACAGGATCTCAGTCCAGGCTCACCTTGAATTTGTGATGATTCTCCTGCCTCAGACTCTAGAATGTAGAGGGTGGGTGCACCACTACATGGACATGTTTGTATTTTGATGGAAAGCTAATAACTTTGTCTCAAGTAAGTTAAGTGAGGGTAAAGGGTCTTAAAAGGGGGGGTTACAATCCAGTGGAGATGATGGCCCTGCAGCGTTGTTGGCACCTCTCTGCTAAAAGGACGCCTGAGAAAGGGCTGAGCCTGGATCCAGAGCATCAGAAAACCTGAGCGGAGCCCTACACAGAGCGACTTCTAAGGTGAGCCCCATGGTTCAGGCTTACCCCATCCCAACCTGATTTAGCCCCTCCCCTTCCATCTTGGTCCCTCCTTTCCCATTCTAACTCTTCCCCTTCTGTCTTAATCCTTCCCCTACCACCTTAGCTCCACCCATTTTCCTTAGCCCCTCCTCTTCCATCCATGATTCCTTCTCTGCTGTTTCCCCATTTCTCCACACTTGCCCCTCTCATCCATCCTCGGTTCCTCTTCCCTTTAACTGTGGTCTCTCCCCCTTCATCCTTCTGTCCTAGGCACCTTCCTCTCCATCCTCAGATCCTCTTTTTCCAGCTTTCTTTCTTCCTTTGAATTTCCTGATTCTTAGGCCCCTCCTCTCAACCGCAACCCTTCCCCCTTCATTCTAGGCCCCTCCCTTTCATATCTGACCACACCCATTACCTGCCCCCAACTCACCTGTCACTTCCAGGGTTACCAGGTCCTGCTCATCCTCGATACCCTTCACCACTTGGCATCGATACAGCCCAGAGTCGCTGGCTCGCAGTGGCCCCAGCAGAAGGGTAGCATTGGCTCTGTGCCGGGGGTAAGCAGGCAATGACACCCGTCCCTGCCAGCCCTTGGCCACACGCACCACGTTGTCTTTGGCCACCAAGATTGGCAAATCCTGTCGCTGGCCTGATGCAGTCTGAACCTTAGTCCACTTGATCCGAGGAATGTCTCGCAGGGTGCTTAGTCGTGGTTGCAGGGTAAAGAAGCAGGGCAAGGACACTAGCTCTGCCAGGGCAGCACGGATGGGTCCTGACCCCGACTTCAGCATGTGAAGCGTCTTTTCCGTGGCGGTGGTGTCCTGTATGTCTGGAGTGGAGAGAGAGGACCAGAGTCAGAGTCAGAGGGCCAGCCTGACAACACTAACATTTCTTGCTTTAGTGAGTGTTTTTTTTTCTTTTTTCTTTTCTTTCCCTAATACTTTGTTTCCCTTTTTGAGACAGTATCTTACTATGTGGTCCTGGCTGTCCTGGAACTCATTATATAGACCAGGCTGGCCTTGGACTCACAGAGAGCCTCCTGCCTCTGCCTCCCCAGTGCTGGGATTCAAGGAGTGGGCCACTACCCTGAGTTTCACTAACACCTCTTTAGAGAGAGATCAAGGCCAGAGAGGCCAGACTGCCCACACAATGTCACTGTGCAAAAGGGACTCCTGGGATCATTCATGGTTCTGCCTCACCATGGCAGTGAATTCCAAAGGCTTCTTATACGGGTGAACTATGATGTAATCGCTGGCTTGCCATGTGGCTCTGGGCAACTCACTTTCCTTCTCTGAGCCTCAAAAAGTTAAGCCAAGAGGCATATACTGGAAGCAGGATTGTGGAGTATTTGCAGACACTGGAAGCAGAATTTGTGAGGTTTTTTTTTCCTTCTGTTTTCAAACAGGGTCTTGTGTAGCACAGGTGGGCCTCAAACTTTATAGCCAAGGATGGCCTTGCACTTAGAATGTTCCTGGTCCACTGCCCACATGCTGGGATTACAGGCATTCGCCACTACGTCCTGTGAGGGCACTCAAGTCACAGAACTTCCGTAATCATCTGGAATGGAACTGTCTTGTCTTTTTTTAGGACATTGGGGGAAACTGAAGATCAGAGAAACAAATACTCTTGCCTACAGCCACAGAGAAGCTCAGTAAGGGATTCATAAAGTCTGACTCCTGACCACCACTGGGGAGACGCCAGGAGAGGCACACAGATCTTCTTTCCCTTGTCCCACCCGTGGCAGACATCAGCAATCAACCCCCGTGTTATTGTCTCTATCTCCCACCTTTCCTTTTCAGATCAGTTCAGCAGAAGACAGTGAGAGGCGGGGACCTCCAGCCTCTGCTGGTTATAACTAAAAATAACCTCTCAGGTATCTTGTTCTCTTTCGACTGTTCAAAGACCTGTTTCAGCTATTCTTGTTTTAAATTGTAGGCCAGCTAAAGGAGCAATAGAAAGGTTCTAGAATGAAAAGCGTCATCCCGTCCCTCTGACCATGGCTACGACTGTAGACTGGAGAGACTCCCCGCTCCCTGGGAACCCCACTCACCCCGCCCCCTGTGAACCCCACTCACCCTGACCCCCAGCCACCAGGAGCAGCAGCCACAGCACCAGGAGGCCTGAGGCCCGGACAGACTGGGCCCCCATACCGGAGCTAGGAGCAAAGGAGAGTCATGGAAGGTGAGTCATGGCACTCCCCCCAAGACATTCAACATGGAGGAGCCAGACAGCCCCAGGAAGACTTACAGCCAGAACTCATAAAGACTACCGTGTCATGGAAGGCCACAGAGGGAGGGAAGCAGGGGTCAAGCAGGTTTGTACCCAGAGAATCTCACTTCAGAATCAAGCAGTGAGGTGTGGCTTAGTGGTACCACACCTGCTGAGCACAGAGGGGGTCCTGGGTTCTGGCCCCAGCACCTCCCATGCTTTCTTAGCCTTGGGTTCTGTTCCCAGCTCTTGTCACACTCCTGTGGGGACCCTAGAACCCACTGAGCACCTGTGAGGCACAGACTGCAGTCCTGTGCCGCCCTCCACGCTGGTTTGGTGGTTCACTCTTATGCTCCCACGTCTCAGCCCCGGAGGGGTGGAGGCTGCTTCCACCCAACTTGATGTGCACAGTGAGTCCTGTGCTATGCCTCTGCCTCTCCTTGCTGTGTGACTTTAGGCAAGAAGCTTAGCTTCTCTCTGCCTCGCTTTCCTTATGGGTCAGATGAGGACACAGCTGACTGGAAGGAATGGATGAGTCAACTTTACACACAACACTTTGAGCAACTGGGCTCGAAGGAGAACATTTTAGCTGTGGCTAATACTGTCACAAATCTTTGCACCGCCAAGTCTGAAGTCCTGCTTTTCAAGTCGGCTTATACCATCAGATTGGGAGCTCCCAAGGGAAGCAATGGGTCCTCATTATTTTGGGGATCCCCAGGCCCTCCCCCAAACCCAGTCCTCCCAACTAACAGGATTTGGCCCATAGATGTGGCTTCCTCTGCCTGGGGTTATTCCCTGCATAGGGGTCATGCCCCACTTAGCATACAGTAGCAGTTATTCCACACTTACTATGAGCAAGGTCTACCACGGGTGCCTGAAATACATTTATTCCAAGGATTCTTCAACAAAACTTTGCCCCTCTCTCAACTCAGGCCTCTTACAGGGGCTAAAAGGGGTCAGGAGAGAGAGAGTCTGAGACCCACCTGCAAACCTACCTGCCCTTTAGCCTATCAAAGCAGAGCAAGCCCTGTGGGTGGGGTCTCTAGAGGCCTTGAAGAGCTCAGCTCCCTTTAACCCTCCCAGTTTCTACAAACGCTAAAGGGCAAGCCGGGCGGGGACCTGTCCGTGGTGCTGAACTCTGAGGCGTGATGCTGAGATTCTGAGCACCACCTTCTTCTGAACCCTGAGAGGGCTCGCTTTTTGCTTTGGGTTGCAGAGCAGAGCACAGGCTACCAACTTACAAATGCCACAGACTCTAACGCCAAACCAGGCCGACCCCATTTCTTCATCTGAGAACCCTAAGCCAGTGTGGAGTACCCTAGTGCCTACCATCACCTCATCTAAGGAGGGATAAAAGCCAGAAAATGTGTTCTCTCATTCTTTCTTTCTCCCCATCCCTCTCCACATAATTGAGTTCATCTGGATGTGGTGGCCAAAGTCTGTCATCTTATGCTAGCACTTGGGAGGTGGAGGTAGGAGGGTCGAGGGTTTGAGGCTACCCTGAACTTCATTTTAAGTTTGAAGTCAGCCTGTATTACATGAGACCTAGGCTCAAAAGAAAGAAAGAAAGAAGGAAAGAGAGAGAGAGAGAGAGAGAGAGAGAGAGAGAGAAAGGAAAAGGATAAAGAAAAGGAAAACATCCATCTGGGTGTGGTGGCAACACCCCTTTATCCCAGCTCCGGGGAGCAGAGACAGGTGGGCCTCTGAGTTGGAGACCAGCCTGTTTTACAGAATTTCTATAGGGCAGTCAGAGCTACAAAGAGAAACGCTGTCTCAAAAACACCTCCTCACCAAAGGAAAACAAGAATCCATGTCACACTCTACCCACCATGCAACTCTGCCCAGTGGCCTTGTTGCCCATACCTCAGTTTCTCCACCTGTAAAGTGAGCTTCATTTAGCACAAACCCTCTGAAGTCATCAGGATGGAATGAGCTAAGACTTGTGATATATCACCTTTAAAAACAGCTCTTTGTACACAAAGCCTTGGGAACACCCTAAAAATACCCAAAGGTAGCCCAACACAGTGACAGACTATGTCAGTTTCGTGCTCCTCCCTCCCCAAACACCCCCTCTCTCTTTCCCCTCACATCTGCACACCCTTCTCTTAAAATACTTCCCCCCACCCCCCGCCACCAGAGGCGAGTGGCAGCTTTCAGGCTGAGGTTTGGGCCCGCCCCCTCATGAATGATGCATTAGCCTCATGTATATTCAAGCAGGGGCCTGCCGGGGAGAGGGGAGGCACATTCACAAGCTTGCGTGTTTGTACCCCGTTCCATTCCCACCCTACCCCGTCTCTTGTCTCTCCGCTGAGTTAGAGTTGGTCACTCGTCATCTAGTGTCACTGGATGTGTGCCGGTGTGCATCTGTGGTACTGCGTCTGGGCGAGGGTATGCCTATGTCGGCACCCTGTGATGTGGGCACATCAGCTCCAGAAGGATTTCTGGTCGGGGGGAGGGGAAGCCACACACATTTATGCACACGCACTTCCACACACTGAGGGTTCCTGGCCCGAGACTCACACTGGTATGTGTGTAGAGCATGGAGAAGAAAGGAAGCCGAGCCAATGATCTCCACCCCAGCCTTGCCGCTCCCACTGTGACCCCTCAGCACCCCCATGCTCTGAGCCCCCTTTCCCTATTCAGAAGACACACCACAGGAGAGACACACACAGAGACTTCCAGGGACATTAACAAAGGGAACCATGCCTGTGTTGACGGGGTAAGCTGTGCGACCTCTACACAAAGACGCCCACAGTCTGGAGCCCTCTGATGAAGCCCCTAACGAATCATCCAGCAGGTCTGGCTCCTCCCACCGGCCGCCACACCAGCCCTGGGACATGGATAAGGGTGCATGTGGCCTTGGTGACCAACTCAGGTCCATGGTAATGTGGCCCCCAGCATAGTTTTGTAACAAAAGACACTGTAAGCAGTTATATCAGTCACAGGAGACCCCAGACATGCCTCTCCTCGTGGCTTATCGACACACAAAGATCCCCGCTTCCTGGGGTGAAAACCTTCCCTCGTTCCCTGTAGGGATGTCCAGGAGCCACAGAGACTGCCAAGTCTGAGATGATACAATGTATGAATTCATACCTTCCTAACTGGTCCCCACATTTCTGGCTTGGGCCATAACCCACCCTGGACTGCCTCAGCCTGGCTTCGTCCCAAACACACTTAGAATGAACAAAGCCACACTGGTTTACGAATGGGGGTCACTCCTATACCCAAGCGCTGGGTCCCCTCCCTTCTAGCACCCGGTCACCCAAAGAGAGTTTTTTAAATGCACCATACAACCAGTTTGGGGATGAAACACGGGGGGGGGGGGGCTGAGATGATGTGTAGCATCTGGGGGCTGCTGTCCCCCCACAGGGTCCATCCAGGTTCTGGACATCCATCTTAAGGCACACCAGAACCCATACCCAGCATTAGCCAGGGCAGCAAACATGCTTACTGGGAAAAGAGACTGCACCCCAACTCCTTATCTATTAGAAAAACAGAGCGCCCCTTAGGATGGGTGTCTGAGCCTCCTCCTTAGCTCAGGATTCAGTAAGAGGACAGAGAAGGGGACCTGTCTTGTGTCCCTTCCCAGGGGACTCAGCTACATATACTCGTAAATTGGGGGACCCTCTCCCCACCACAGCCTTCCATTCATGTGTAAACTGGAGGTCCTCATTTCAAGTTCACGGTGTGTCTCATCTAAAATATCGGGGTGCACAGTCTCAAGATTCCCTAGGTAATAAGCAGGATGCCCTTGTCTTTTCTCCAAACTCGGGGTGCCCCTCCCCTAGCCCTAGCTCTCAGCGCCTCCTGCTTGATCCAGAGAACTATATGCAGCCAGGGATCCTCCCTATCAGGGATGGGGATGTCTTTTCATTCAAGACTCCCTTCCATTCTCAACACCCCTAAGCCCTCCCCTCATGCGCTTAGGGTCCCCCAAACTTAGTTCCCCTCCCCCATCGTTCCCTGCCCATCCCCACCAAGGAGGGGGCTTCCCCTTCATTCTGGTCAGTCCTCCCCAAGTTCAATTTCCTTTTGCCCCCCGTCTTCCGGCCCCCCCCCACACCTGGTTCCTTAGCGCGGACACATCCCCACGGTTCCGGGCACAAAGGACGCGACACCCGGCTCCCGGTGTTTCTTCAGCCCTATAGCCCAGGCGCTCAGCACGCCAGGCGCAGCCTCCTCACTTATAAAGGACCACAGAGGGATGTTCTACGCATGCGCAGCCCCTGGCCTCCAGCCGCGTTGGGAGCGAGGCTTCCCTGCCTGAGATTCCTTTCACGTCTGTCCAGACACAGTCCAGGGGCTGGCTACACCTGACTCCGCCTCCATTCTCTTTGCGCTCTTTGGAATCCCACTAAATGGCCCCAGTATGCTTCATAAGGCAGACTGCTCCAATTTACAGGTGGGGAAACTGAGCCTCATGGATTTAAAAGTGTCAAGGTCACTCAGAAGAAAAGGCAGAGTGGGGGGATTCAAACCTAACTTTCCAAGGTTCCAAAGACAGTTAACCATTCCTAGAATAAACATGGGCTCGTAGGAGCCACTGGGTCCCACAGCTGCCAAGAGTCACCAGGGAGCCTGTGAGACAACAATAATAGCCTTTGCTCAGCAGTAAGTGTGTTTGCTGCCAAGGTCCAGGACCCGAGTTCAATCCCTGTGTCAGGAGAGAAGTGACTCCTGTAACTTGTCCTCTGACTTCCACAACCCCACATCAAATAAATAAATGTGATGGAAAATGTTAAATCATCAGGGACTCAGCCTGGATGTGTTAACTGCAGAACTGCTCCATCAACTGAGCCCTGTTCATATCATTCATTCATTCATTCATTCATTCATTTATTCACTCATTCACCTCACCCTATCACTGTTGGATGGTGCACGCACACCAGGGTCACGTGTTTACAATGGAAACTCCTACTTTGAGAAGAGCATAAGTGCCATCTTGACTCCTGTTCCTTAGAAGCCAAGGTGTGAAGGGCTGGGGATGCGGCTCAGTTGGTAGGTAGGATGCTTGCTTAGCATGAGTTTGACAACCTTGAGTTTGACCTGTAGCACCTTACAATCAGGCATAGTATGGCAGGTTGTGCCTGGAGTCCCAGCAGGGGAGGCAGAGGACCAGGAGTTTAAGGTCCATCCCCGGCTACATACCGAATTGGAGACCAGCCTGGGCTACTTGAGATTCTAGCCTCAAAAGCAGTCCTTAGGGGAGGGAACCTCTCAAGAGACGGCTCAGTGAATGAAGTGCTTACTCCACAAGCTTGAGGACCTAAGTCCCCGATACCCACATAGAATTAGTGTACAGTGGTAATTCCTATAACTTCAGTGGGGACAGAGACACGTGAAGCTGTGTCTTTAAAACCAACCAACCAACCAACCTTTTTTTATTGGTTCTTTGTGAATTTCACATCATGCACCCTAATCCCACCCATCTCTCTCTCTTCCTGTACCTGCCCTCCACCCTTGCAACCTCCCCACAACAGAGAAAACAATCTCATCACGGAGGCTGCAGTGTGTCAGTGTGTCCCATAGCATGCCCTTTGTCCACACTTCTTTGCTTGCAAATGTTCATTGCGGTGACCCTGACTCATTGGTCTGGTTTGAGGCCTCTGGCTTCTGCTACACTATCAATACTGAAACTTCACTGGGACGCCTCTTGGCTCTTCTGTCATTGCCCTGTGTCGTGGAGATCCTGTAGTTGTGGATTTATAGGGCCAGCCCCTTCATGCACTCCAGCATTGTTGATGGGATAGATGTTGAGGGTGGGTCCAGTCAAAGGACTGCGTCTGGGCCTGAGAGGCATCTGAGCTACTCAGCCCCTCAGTCTTCAGCTCTTATACCCTCAGGGCCTGCCCTGCTCCCCAACCAAAGCCAGCTTTTCCACGGTGCCCAGGTAAGGAGTGGGGTCAGTTCTGCACAGACATTAACATGTCCCCAGACCAGGGACATCTACCTAGACCTTGGTGGTAACAGATTCTGCTGTTGCAGGGCCACGGACCCAGACATGGCCCTCGGTGGCAGCGCAGGCCAGGACCCCACCATGGTCCCTGGTGGCATAGGTGGCTGCTCTGGTCAGGCTGTCCCTCATGGCCTCCGTGTCTCCAGCTCTGCCTCCCTTCACCGTGCCCACATCCTCCTGCTTCTCTTTCATTTCTCCACCACTTACTTCCTGGTCTTAGTGGTGCCCAGGATCTCAGGAGCGCTGTGCCCCACTTGTGCATTACGGTGCAGTTCACGGGCCATCTTCAGCTTGATCTACACCTTCAGCTCTGCATGGTGCTGGACTGGTGGTCATCTCAGACTCACTTTTTTCCAGGACTGCTGGGCTACTAATCATTCAGATGTTCACAAGTCAGAACAGAACACTGAACATAGTCTTTCTCCTCTCTGCCACCTACTGACACATATGTGACACAGCAGACATGCCTGCACACCTCTCTGGGATGGGGAGCCTGTGTCATTTTATTGTTGTTTGTTTCTGTCTTTGTTTGTTTTGCTTTTTATTTTGTTTTGTTTTTGAGACAGGATTTCTCCATGTGTCCTAGCTGTGTTAGAACTTGCTCTGTAGCCAGGCAGTACGCCTTTAATCCCAAGACTTGGGAGGCAGAGGCAGGCAGATTTCTGAGTTCGAGGCCAGCCTGGTCTACAGAGTGAGTTCCAGGACAGCCAGGGCTGCACAGAGAAAGCTTGTCTCGAAAAAAAAAAAAAAAAAAAACTTGCTCTGTGAATCAGGCTAGCTAGCCCAGAACTCAGAGATCTTCAACCTCTGCCTCAGGGATTAAAGGTATCCAGTACTAAGTCCTGGGATTAAAGGTGTGTGCCACCACTGCCTGGCCCAGAGGCCCAGAGCCCTGTGTCTTGCTGACCAGTTGGCCAAGATAACGAGCATGTCTCAAAATCAAATGGATGGATAAACAAGCCAGTTGGAGAGAAACACTCCATGTTGACCTCTGACCTTCACTGCCACATGTAACATGAGAACATGTGCTCTTCCCACAGGCTTTAAATCTTACCCTGACAAGGTGGCACGTGCAGGTGGAATCAGCACTCTGTAGGCTGAGGCAGGAGATCATGAGTTCAGGTTCAGCCTGGATTACAAAACCATCTCTCCAAAGGAACCAGAACCAATCCTGAGCTCTGTGGTAGAGTATTCTTTAGCCATGAAAAACCCTATATATAACACAACAGGGATAAACCTGGAAACCGCGATGTCGAGTTGTCAGGGACAGACAGGCACAGTGGCCGTATCATGTATGCTCCCAAGACAGAAAATGTCCAGAACTGTCCAACCCACAAGGACAGGAAACAAAGCTGGGCTGTGAGAGAGACTACTGTGGGAAGAGGCTCTCTCAAGGAGTGAAATTGCATTAGAAGGAGAAGAGACGGTGATCTTAAAATAATTTGCCTTCCTTAAGCCCACCTGGCTGCAGGATCACTAACCTACTGACTGCTGGGTTTTGTTCGTTTGTCTGTTGTTTACTTACTTTGAGACAAGGCCTCACTATATAAGCCTGGCCAGTATGGACTGGCTATGATGCAGCCTAGGCACGATTTAAACTTCAGATAATCTTCCTGACTCTGCTTCCGATGTGTTCCACCACACCCAGACTTGTTATTGTTTTATTGGTTTTGTGGTTGTTCATAGAATTTGCTTCTCTTTAGGTGTAGGACTGTTGTCCCCGTGAGTGACTACCCACAGAGGTCAGAAGGAGTCAGACCCCTGGAGCTGAGGTAACAGGCAGGTCTGAGCGGCTGTATAAGGATGCTGGGAACCAGACTGAGTCCTCCACAAGAGCAGCAAGTGCCCTAACCTACCTGGCTGGGTCTCAGCACCTGCCGTCTCAAAAACACACACACACACACACACAAAACACAAAACAAAACAAACACAAACAAACAAACAAAAAAACAACCCAAACAAACAAACAAAAAACAAAAACAAAAAAGCAGAGAAAGGAAGAGGAGGAGGAGGAGATCCCAGCCTGGTCTGGAACTTGCTATGTAGCCCTGACTGGCCTCTATTTCCCTATGTATCCAAGGATGACTTTGAATTCCTGATCCTCCAGCTCTTCTCCCCCAGGTGCTGGAATTGCAAATGCATACATCACCATGTCTGTTATATGCGGTGCTAGGATGGAAGGCTAGGCCAGCACTACCCACAAAGCCCTGGTCCCAGCCCTTTAGCCTTGGTTTGGTTTGCTCTTGAGACAGGATGGGGTATGTAGAGAAAATCTAAACTCTCTCTCTCTCTCTCTCTCTCTCTCTCTCTCTCTCTCACTCACACACACACACACACACACACACACACACACAGTTTTTTTAAAATAATAAAATGAAATAAAATAAATCACAGTGGTACATTTTAGATTGAGAAGATGCTCTGGAAGGTAAAGGCATTGAACCTGAGTTGCATTGGGACCCTAGTGGTGGAAGGAGAGAAACGACTCCTGCAGGTTGTCTTCTGACCTCCAAGTTCACACCATGGCATCTGTGCACCCCTCTAATAGACAACAGTATTGCCTATCAATGAACATGGCCCTGGGGTGAAGCCTTGGGGATGGTTCATCGTGATTTGACTGTCAACTTGGCAGGTTCTAGACTCACCGAGAAAATGTTTCCCTAAGAAAACAAACCTTTGGACATGTGGGAATATCTAGATTAGTTTATTAGCTGGGAAGACCCACCCTGAATGTGGGCTCCACCATCCATGGGCTCAGAACCCGGCCTGAATGAAGGTTGCTGAGCCCAGCGTTCATCTGCCTTCCATAGTGCAGGTGAGAGTGTGAGCAGGGTGAGTGTGTGCAGCATGGATATGTACAGTGTGGGAGTGTGCAGCGTGGATGTGTGCAGTGTGAGTGTGTGCAGCGTGGATGT